TTTTCTTATGAACAACAACTAGTAATTAGTATGTCAGTAATATTGTACAAAATAAAAATATTAAGTCGATCCACTTTTAGACATTGGATAGGACATCAAAAATTCTTAGTCATAATATTTCTTCAATGGCTGAATGATTTTCGAGCTCTAATTTGTCTCGACACGATATTAGAAGTGAGAGAGTTTAATGTGATCCCGTGCGGCTCTTTATTTCTCTGTAAAACATATGTATATGTTCTCCAATGCGGAAAAACCGCGGGATTTGATTTAGGGACACGCCAAAGCAATTACGAATGCACGTTTCATGAGATGTCTTCTCGCGCGCGACCCCTTACGAAGCATAAAAGGTGGCGGAGAGGGCTCGTCAAGAGGGGTAGAGTTTGGCTTTGTGCGGGGTCGCGGCGGCGTTGAAGCCGACAAAAGATAAGCTGTTATTTATAACCCGGCTTAAGGACTGCCGCGAAAGGTCGGGATGAATTTAGGGAAAATAAAATCACTTCGAAATCGCAAATCCGCGCACATGATGCTCCACATGTCCTCGTCCGCCTGAATAGAATAATATCGCAGGATAGAATAATGCGTGAAAGAATATTTTGTAGGAATCATTCTCTTTTAATGCGTGATACGCACTAAATGCTATAAACGCGTGCAACATATTCTTAATTTTATTAATAATAAAATACTGCTTTCTTTACATTTAAAAGTAAGTTTACATTTAAAAAAGATATACTATTTTTTTAAGCCTGGAGACACGTAACAGCTAAAAAATTGAAAAATGGTTTAATTTCAGTAGTTATTTATTTATTATCACAAATTCATATTCCTAAAGAAAGATGCGAATTAATTTTAAATTCTATATGTATACAGATTATACATAAATCTCATTATATATTGCTTTTTTTTTCATTTCAGCTGATATGGTATGCTAATGTTAAATTTTTCAATGCATCAAATTGTATTCCTTCGGTTCTTTCAAACCCTTATATCGTTCGCTGCTTTCAGCGACTTCGCTACCAGCGAATCATATTTCGGTCATTGACGCGGTTCCACTTCAATTAGTATGGTTTGCTAATGTTAATTTGTTTCAATACATCTTTCAAAGATTTAAATCAAATTCATTTGTTTTTTTTTTCGATTTTTTCAAACCCTTCGTTCGCCGCTTCCAACGACTTCGCTACTAGAGAGCCATATTCTGGTCATCGACGCGGCCATCGATACCACCACCCTCTATGTACGTGTCGCGGCGGGTGTGCACCGCGAAGCAACAAAGTTCATTCCGCCGCTCTCGCTTCTTCCCTAAAAACGCGCCCCACCAGGTATCCGCTCACCCACTCAACCACCCTTTTCGTTCGCTTCGAACCATCGGAGCGTAGTCCGAAGATCCGAGCGCAGACGGCGGAGATACCTAAAGATCCGTCTTCGACGTTACGCCGTTGCTGGCGGTTGGGGGTGGGGGGCAGGGGGG